AACATTCCTTTGCAAACCAAAGATGAAATTAATTATGCTCTTGAATCTCTGACTACTTCTATAGTTGAAGCAAGAGCTGCCTCAGTACCAAAATGCGAGGTTAAATTCGATTCAATTATAATAGACGATGATCTTCAGCTCTTGATTCGTCTTAAAAATGTCCGTAGGAGACAATATCAAAGAACACGCGATCCTGCCATGAAAGTTATCTGGCGGGATTTGCAAAAACAAATTAAAAAGCGATTCTCTGCCCTGAGGAACAAAACTTTTGAAAATAATATTTCTAAATTAGACCCGAGTTCCAAAACCTTTTGGAAACTCACAAAAATTTTGAAAAACCTCAAAAGCCTATTCCAGCGCTTAAAAAAGGTGGTAAAATTTTGATCACAAATTTGGAAAAAGCTCAGAAACTTGCTAAGCAATTCGAGAGTTCCCATAATTTCAGTTTGGGGCTTACTAGTCCTATTGAGAATCAGGTTGCTCGGGATTTTCTGAATATTTTCTCTCGGGAAATATTTTTGATGATTCCTGGGGGACAGATTTGGACGAAGTAAGGTCTATAACTAAAAAGTTTCAAAATATGAAAGCTCCAGGTGATGATGGAATTTTCTATATCCTCATCAAAAAACTCCCAGAGAGTACCTTGTCTTTCTTGGTAAAATTATTTAACAGATGTTTCCATTTGGCATACTTTCCTGATAAATGGAAAAATGCAAAAGTTGTTCCAATTTTGAAGCCGGATAAAAATCCAGCTGAAGCTTCTAGCTACCGTCCAATAAGTTTGCTTTCTTCAATAAGTAAACTTTTTGAAAAGATAATTTTGAACAGAATGATGCTTCACATCAATGCGAACTCAATTTTTGCAGATGAGCAGTTTGGATTTCGCCATGGGCATTCAACTACTCATCAACTCTTAAGAGTTAACAATTTAATTCGTTCAAACAAATCTGAAGGCCACTCAACTGGAGTTGCTCTTCTAGACATAGAAAAAGCATTCGACAGTGTTTGGCATGAAGGTTTGATTGCTAAATTGAAAAAGTTTAATTTTCCACTTTATATTATGAAATTAGTTCAAAATTATTTAACTGACAGAACTCTTCAAGTAAATTATCAAAATTCCAAATCTAATCGACTACCTGTTAGGGCAGGAGTTCCTCAGGGTAGCATTCTTGGGCCTATATTGTATAACATTTTCACTTCGGACCTCCCTGATTTGCCTCAGGGTTGCCACAAATCTTTGTTCGCTGATGACACAGGCATTTCCGCTAAAGGAAGAAGTCTTCGTGTTATTTGCAGCAGACTGCAGAAAAGTTTAGATATTTTCTCTTCTTATTTACAAAAATGGAAGATTTCTACCAACGCTTCCAAAACTCAACTTATAATATTTCCACATAATCCTAGAGCTTCGTTTTTGAAACCTAGTAGTAGTCACATAGTCACTATGAACGGAGTTCCAATTTCCTGGTCAAACCAAGTGAAATATCTTGGATTAATACTTGACCAAAAATTAACTTTTAAAGATCACATTGAGGGCATTCAAGCCAAATGTAACAAATATATAAAATGTTTGTATCCTCTTATAAACAGGAAATCCAAACTTTGCCTGACGAATAAACTTCTAATATTTAAACAAGTTTTTAGACCGGCCATGCTTTACGCTGTGCCAATATGGTCTTGTTGTTGCACTACCAGGAAAAAAGCACTTCAAAGGATACAGAACAAAGTTCTGAAGATGATTTTGAAGTTGCCTCCCTGGTACAGTACTACCGAGGTACATAGAATTTCGAATGTTGAGACTTTAGAACAAATGTCCAACAAAATAATTAATAATTTCAGGCAAAAATCGTTGCAATCCTCAATTGCAACGATTAATTCCCTTTATACTTAGATAAGATTTAGTTTTAGTTTTTAGTTTTAAGATATCAATTGTTATTCTGACATGCAGGTTAAAAAACCTGTTTAAAATACTGAATTGCCAAGACATGAACAATGTAAAAACACTTAGATATATATCATAACAATTAAGGCTGGTACGTTACTGCAGTAACTGGAGCACCTAGGTTAAAATGAAATGTAATTTATTTTGAATTTGGAACAAATAAAGAGTTAAAAAAAAAAAAAAAAATCGTTGATTTCGGGCTGCGGTAAGGATGGTCCATCCTGACGCCAGTTTAGCCCAGGGGCTGTTGGGAGATCCTGCGGCTGTGGAGCAGCAGTCGTCTGTTTACCTGAGTTTGCAGGGGCTCCGGCAGTTAGAGCTTGAGCAGCAGTAGCAGTGGTACGAGCAGCAGCCAATCTTTGATTGAGTGACAGTGGTTGCAACACTGGAATCGGTCGTCGTGGAACCGGTGGGAAGTTCTGATCATTCATTTCCGGCACCGTCTTGCAGCCGGGCTGGTTTCTCGTCGATGCTTTCTTTCGTATCTCGATGTACTCGGTGCGCAGGGGCGGGCAGGCCTTGCTTGTAGCTTTGTGAGCAGCACCGCAGTTGGCGCAAATGGGATCGGCTTCATCTAGTCTGTCGCAGGCGTCGGTTTTGTGTTGTTTGCAGGCAGTTCGAGCATTGGGTGACTCCACGACTGACCGGCTTGTACCGCTCCCACTTCACCACTGTGTTGAACAGGACGTGGATTCCCTAGAGGTCCATCAAAGTTATTGAGCTCTTCACAAGGTGAACCAGGTATAGCTGGTCGCAGTACTTGACGGCCTTGTTGTGGTGGGCCATCTTGTGAATTTGGACCGGCTTCAGTCCATTAGCCACAAGCTCTTCCAAGAGGACGCCTGTGTTCATGTCGTACAGTCCTCGCAGGACCACCTTGAACGGCTTAACAGCCTCGATGTCGTGGGAGAAGTACTCCACCTTGGTCCAGTATAATCTGTATCGCCTTGTAATATTTTAACGCCGGAACCATCAGTTTGTATCCTTCCGTGCACAGCTGGATGGTGCACCGGACACCCTGCGTGATGAAGTTTATTTTTTTTTGCAATCCGGGAGGGAAGTCCTTCACGGAGTACCGATTGTTGTCCAGCAGCTTCTTCGCAGCTGTCGCACTGTCACTGTTGTCTTCAGGCCTAGACCGTTTCCCGGGATTGCCGGCACTCGTGCCACCGCGCGATTTTTTACCCATGGTTGGGTCACTGAGAGCGTCTCTATTCAACGCAAAAAAAAACGGAACAACGCAATCGAACGAACGAATCGAGCGAGAGAAAAGAAAATTGCAAGTTTTGAAAATTTCAGAAAAGAATAGAGAACCTCAAAGCAGTTCCGTTAACATTAGAGAAGTCACATAAATGTTAAAGAAGTTTAGAGAACTTCAGTGAATTTTAATCTTTAGAGGAGCTTCATTTTTTTGTTAGAAAAATTGAAGAAACTTTAAGAAGTCCTATAAAGCTTAGGAAAGTTTAAGAATTTGATGAGAAGTATTGCAAGCATCAGGCGAACTTCTCAAACTACAAAATACCTTCAAGACAGTTTCATTAACTTCAGGTTAAGAATGGGAACTTCCAAATAGTTCTTTACTTTTAATTCAATTCAGGGTTTCTTGAAATTCTACTCAAAACTATCAGGCTACACATGAAATCTAAAATTCCTCAGAACTACCGTGAAAGCAGATTGCATTTGATGTTTTTCTGAAAGTTTTTTTTTTCCAGAACTCCCTTGGAATGAGGTCCTTTGAAATTATAGTAAAATTCCACGAGCCTTTGAAATTGTGCATGAAATTTTACTCAAATGCTTGAAAATTTCTTGAAATATTATAGCTTTAAAGTCCAAAACTAGTTCAAATTTAAAATTTCTAAGAAATAAGCTCATTCAAAAACAAAAAAAAAATATTCCAACACTCTGTTTTTTTAAATTGATTTGTAACTGAACATTAATCCACTGTGGATCTATAAAGTGTGAATGAAAATAACAAGAAAAATTAAATACTTGTATTTTAAAATTCATTAATTTCTTTAAAATATCCTTAGTAAGAAAATTATTAAATCCTCTGAAACTTACACTGCCGCTCTTCGCATGTCCGTCCCATAGCGAAAATCAGCAAGCCGAGAAAATCGCGTTTTAAGTTTGCTTCGTACCATATCTTCTTATGTGATGGGACAACCAATTTGACTGTATTTCCAAACTTTTTCAAAACAAAGTTGTAGGGTTGCTCCAGTATTATGAAAATATGGGTAATTATCTACCATTTGCATAGAAAAACTCAGTTTTGACAAAAACGACTATGTGACCGACATGCGAAGAGCGGCAGTACAGGCGTTTAAAAAAATAAAATTACCTGAGGATTCCCGGTTTTCCAGGTATTTGCAGTTAGTAGACACCCTGACTAATACCGTGGGTTTGGCCATACACTTACTATTGAATCCGCTTTAAAGGTTCATATCTTACATGAGTGTTTAAGAGATACTAATTGAATAATACATGTACATACTTTCAACGCAGACGCTGGAGTAAGTTGTCCACGGCGCTGCTTTCAATGACTAATTGACTAGAGCTAATCAGAGAAGTCCCCGGTTCAACAAACGTCCGTTTGTCTATGCTCTAAGTTTTACGATTTAATCCATTTGCGTAATCGGACAACCATTGAACAGTGACATTTGAGTAATCACACATTTTGTTTCCATCTCTAAATAAACTAAACGGTGATTCAAACGATGATGTACGACAAGGCATCAGGGAGATTAGTGGGGTTTTTCGTTTGAGAAACTGTTATTTATGTTATTTTGATCTACGTCTGTTTATTTTTTTCGTGTGTGGCGGGGCTTGGTAATAGTCCCTCTCGACCACACACATGACACAACTCGCTAATATATTAAAATGTTTGAAAACATCTTTCCAAAACGACTTAGCCGTACATTTGTTTCCTGCGATACCACAGAATCGCTAGTCCAAACAGCAGTTCTATTTTCATCGCTTCCTATCTACCTACACACACGATGGGGATATCCATTTTTCATATTACTTTACTGCGTTTCTTTATTTTTAATCTCCCCCATTATAGAAACAGAACCGACGACGGGTAGCTCCGGTGATAAAATCCCTCAATCGAACCTAATGCAGAGCCTACACAAAGACCTCGATGCGCTGATTTCGATTCTCAACACATCGAACGAAGCCCAAGCGGGCGATGACGATGCATCGGATGCCCTGCTGGCGGCGGAGTTTCAGTCGAGCGATAACATCGGTGCCAAGCGGTCTTCCCTTAGGGAGAGGGCTTTCCGAAGGAAAGTACACCGCAAGGATTTGCAGATTGCTACGGCTTCGAACGACGGCGTTGGCTCTTCGACGGGGAGCAGCCGCCAGCTGAGGCCACGTGCCACCAAAAAACGCGACATGAATTCGTCCGTGATGACCGACGATGCGGTTTTCGAAGCGATGAGGTACGTGTTGAATTTCGTCTCAGCCCCCATAAAAATTACAACAGTTGTCACGCTACAGCGCAGCTTGTCAGCATAAATTCACCCACCTTTTTAATGTCGCGCTTTTATTTTCGCATCTTTCAGCACCGACGATGACGATCCGACGGCCGCCTAGGTGCGATTGTGGTGTTCCAGTCATCCGAAGGATGATGCAACACATCACGATACATTTTATTTCACGCGCGCGGCGTTTTGTGTGCTATTTATGAAGTGTGATAATTTCGAAACAGGAATCTTGCAATCGACGACCGCTCGGGTTACATTCATTTCACGCCTGCTGAAGAATCGTGCTAATTTCCACACAAACGGTCGTCGAGAACTGCTGTATCTATGGGGGTGGAAGCCTACAAACAGTGCTGCACCGTATCTTGTATGGAGTATCGGTTTCGTGTGGAAGAAATTGGCAAATGTGATAATTTAGATGATAATTTAAATTGAACTGCTATTTGAGCGGATAGCATCAGAAAAAAACGAATAAATTATTGTATGGTTCACTAGACTACCTCTTTCTAGAATATAGATTTTGTTTTAGTTCTGGCTGACTTTCCTGATGGTTAAAATGTTGATAAAAATTTTAACTCCCTTTTCTAACAACCAATCTTCGTGACATCCTTGTAATGACAACATATATTTTAAAATGATCTAAGATGGAACGCATGAGACGTGAAAAAATCTGCACACTAACGTTGAAAAACAACGTGGTCAGGAGGAATGATCGCAAAGGTTCTCAAATTTCCAAAATCGACTGTAAATATCGACCGGGAAACACTAACGTTGGACCGCGCAAAACGAAACAAATATAGAAGTGGAACACACCCTTCTTATGGAACTTTGTTGATGAATTCACTGACTTATTCATCAAAATACTAAAATAAAAAATACTGAAAAACCCAGCAAAAAAAAAATGTAAACAAATAAATTACTGAACAAGTCAGCAATTCTTTTACTGATATAAACGGTAATTTTTGACAGTTCTGAGATTCTGCAATTTACAAGTTTTCAGTAAAAGTAAAATCTACTGGGATGATTACTGAAAACTCAGCGCTACTGAAATTGACCAATAGGGAGCTGCACCGTCGGATTAACCTCACTTTTTTTTTACATCTGCCAGTGGTTTGTTTACATGGACTAAGAAAAAAAATTAAAACATTTATTAAATGTTATCTTAGATTTTTTTTGTAATTACTTTATTTGTACAGGCTCAATCGAATAAAATTTACAGAGCCGAGTTATCCTTTGCGTTATACATTATTACTGTCTTATATTTAAAGTTAAAGGAACTGGACCGAGTACTCGCAGTCGTCTCGAGGTTAGTGGAGATTTACAATTTTTTGGATTTCCTCGTGCAGAGGAAATGCTCTCCTTCCCGATAGTGCTCTTGGTTTGCATGGGCGTACTTCGGTTCTCGTGAAAAGGACCTAGCAAATTATTTACAAAAGTTGATAGGCCTTTTTCAAATGTTACGCGAGCATTATTCATGTGTTCATTTTTAGTAAACAGGGCCCCGCTGTTGTGTCACTTTTTGTCGAGTGAGTGAACTCAAATACATCCGTGCTGACGTTGACGTCACGAATGAACGCGATGAACACGCATTCATCAGTTTGACATCTAGTGGTGCTTTGTTTACCTTTGCTTGTTAGTCGATTCTAGTGCATTTGATTATTAAAATAAAAAGAGTTAAAAAATATGATTCCCGACTATGTTCGTTTGAAAAATATTCCTCTCCAAAAAATCTAAGAGACGAGAACTGCTTAGTGCTTTATCCGTGCGCTCTTTCATCATCACCTTCGCGTGGGTCCCTTCGCATTGCTCAATTTTGGGCAATGAGAAGGCGAATTCACTTGCGCTCGTCAATGAACTCACGAAAAAATTTGACTTTTGAGCGGTGCCGTGTTTACTAAAAATGAACACATGATGTGATGCTCGCGTAACTTTAAAAAAGGTCCTATCAACTTTTATAAACCACTTGTTAGGCTAATTCTCACTTGCTCTCCTCTCATGTAACGTTGCGTTGCTTTCAACTGAAATACAACTGGCCTATGCGCAAAAACAGCTAATTTGTTCAGTTTTCTTGGACATTAAGGGGGCTTTTGATTATGTTTGTATCGATGTCTCCACAATAGTGAGCTTTCACCAATTAGTGAGCTTTCACCAATTATGAACAACTATTTGAGCAACTTTTTGTCTGAGAAATATATGAGCTTTTCTCATGAAAACTCGTCAATTTCACGAATAAGTTACATGGGTCTCCCCCAAGGCTCATTTTTAAGCACCCTTCATTTTAATTTTTATGTAAAAGACATTGATGGTTGTCTTGATGAAAATTGCTCGCTAAGGCAGCTTGCAGATGACGGGGTTGTGTCCGTTATATGACCAAGTGCACCGGACCTGCAAGGACCATTGCAAGATACCTTAGACAATTTGTCTACTTGAGCTATGAAGCTGGGTATCGAAGTCTCTCCGGAGAAAACTGAGTTGGTTGTTTTTTCTAGGAAGCATCATCCTGCACAGTTACAGCTTCAACTAAAGGGTAGAACCATCACTCAAAGTATATCTTTCAAGTATTTAGGAGTCTGGTTCGATTCCAAAAGCACGTGGGGAAAACATATTGCGTATGTGAAACAAAAATGCCAACAAAGAATCAATTTTCTTCGTACAATTACCGGAACTTGGTGGTGAGCACACCCGGAAGATCTGATCAGGTTGTATCGAACAACCATCTTGTCGGTTCTAGAGTACGGTAGCTTCTGCTTTCAATCCGCGGCAAAAACACATATCCTAAAGCTACAACGGGTTCAATACCGTTGCCTCTGAATCACGCTTGGCTGTATGCACTCGACGCATACGATGAGCCTCGAAGTACTCGCGGGTGTTCTCCCACTGACAGATCGTTTCGCAGAATTGTCCTTCCGGTTTCTTATCCGTTGTGAAGTAATGAACCCATTGGTAATAGAAAACTTTGAGAAGCTGCTCGACAAAAATCCTCAAACAAGATTCATGAGTCTCTATTACGAGTACATGACGCTGGAGATTGGCCCTTCTTCATTCAATTCCTCTCGTGTTTGCCTCCAAGACTTTTATAGTTCCTCTGTAAATTTTGATCTGACCATGTTGCAAGAAATCCGTGGAATACCAGATCACCATCGGTCGCACATGAGCATCCATAGAAGGAGGAAAAAGCCGCAGCGCTATTGATCGGAATCAGTAGCTCTTCGTGAGTCGCTGTGGGTCATCTATGTCAAGCGCGTCATACGTAAGAGTATAAACAGAGAGAACCTCGCTCAAATTCCAATTTCTTTTTTATTATATAAGACCCTATAGTCCTACGTTACCATTGCGTACAACCCCATAGTGCTGTCCCTTGTAGTATTTTTGATTTCGTCCCACGTCGTACTCTAGCAGAACTAAAGGGTGATACGGTCAAAATTTGGTCAAGGGAAAACGCGTGTAAATCGGTGAAATCGTTTATTTAAAAAATCAAATTAAATTTCTTTTTCAAGTTCAATTAGTATAAAATTCAGGAAAAATATTCAGTTAGGCTTCCGCTTTTCCAAATCCGAATTGCCGGGCCTTACGCTTGACCCCTGCCATCAGATTTTGTACAGCCGCCTTGTCCACCTTCTTCGCCGCAGAAAGCCAGTTTGCCTTGAACTGCTGCTCGCCCTTAGCAGTTTTTTTGGTCTTCTTTAGGTTCCGCTTGACAATAGCCCAGTATTTCTCAATTGGGCGGAGCTCTGGCGTGTTGGGAGGGTTCTTGTCCTTGGGAACCACCTGCACGTTGTTGGCGGCGTACCACTCCATGGCCTTTTTACCGTAATGGCAAGATGCCAAATCCGGCCAAAACAGTACGGAACAACCGTGTTTCTTCAGGAAAGGCAGCAGACGTTTATTCAAACACTCTTTCACGTAAATTTCTTGGTTGACAGTCCCGGAAGCTATGAAAATGCTGCTTTTCAAGCCACAGGTACAGATGGCTTGCCAAACCAGATATTTCTTTGCGAACTTTGACAGTTTCATGTGCTTGAAAACATCTGCTACCTTTCCCCTTCCTTTTGCCGTATAAAACTCCTGTCCCGGAAGCTGCTTGTAGTCGGCTTTGACGTAGGTTTCGTCGTCCATTACCACGCAGTCAAACTTCGTCAGCATCGTCGTGTACAGTCTCCGGGATCGCGCTTTGGCCGTCGTATTTTGTTTATCATCGCGATTTGGAGTCACTACCTTCTTGTAAGTCGATAGTCCGGCTCGTTTTTTGGCTCGATGCACGTCTCAGCGGCTTCCGGTTTTCGATTTCCCCCCGATCCAGACTTCCTGGCTGTCGACAAACGTTCCCCAAACACTTTAATTACATTTGTAACGGTTGATTTGGCAACTTTTAGCGATTTTGCCAACTTTGCGTGCGAGTAGCTCGGATTTTCGCGATGCGCGAGCAAAATTTTGATACGCTGCTCTTCTTGCTTGGACGGCATTTTGACAACTGAAGAGTGAATTCCAAAATCAAAATAGGAGCAACATTCTACACACACACACCTTCAAAATGAGGGGTGTTCAGGTTTTTTAAATGCAAAATTGAAAGAAATACGTCAAGTTGATATTGACCAAATTTTGACCGTATCACCCTTTAAACGGTAATTTTTGACAGTTCAGATATTCTGCATTTTACGAAGTTTTCAGTAAAAGTAAAATCTACTGGGACCCCATTAATAAATCAATTCGAAACTAACGATTTTAAATTGGCTCACTACTTGACTAGCCTATTGGTCCCAAGCAAACGATTAACGTATCCCATTTTAGTCGAAATTCTAGTACTACACTATGTTTGTTTTGATTTGCTATGAAAGTTTGATAGATAAAATGAGGGGTTCATGGATTTTCTTATGTTTCGAGGGGTGCATCGATTAGCTTGGGACCGAAGATTGTACCAGAGCTGAGTCAAAAGGTTGAGCACGTTTCTTCGAGACCTTCTGGTCTTAGAGTTACCTCTATGCTAAAGCTTCATGTTGATATTAGTATGGGATTTCCTCCCAACGCTGAAAATCGTTAACTTCGCGTATGAAGTAACTTTTTGGCTCAGCTCTGGTACTATCTTCGGTCCCAAGCTAATCGATTCACCCCTCGAAACATAGAAAAATCCACTAACCCCTTATTTTATCTGTCAAACTTTTATAGCTAATCAAAACAAACATTGCGTAGTACTAGAATTTCGACTAGAATGGGGTACCTTAGTCGATTTGCTTGGGACCAATAGGCTAGTCAAGTAGTGAGCCATTTTTTTTAGGTTCGTTAGGTTCATATTGATTGTTGGCAGTACCATCATAGAGGTAACTCTAAGACCACTGGGTCCCGAAGAAAATCATTATTATTTTTGGCTCACTCAGTACCAGAACAACGGTCCCAAGCAGTCCCAAGCTATTTCACTCACCCCTAAATGTTCTGCATGAATCCACACACCCCTGATGTTATCT